ACAAGCTGCTGTTGTCGTCGTTGTCATTAAAAAGCCATTTCGCCCATATATCATCGGAGGAGGCATCCCTCCCACGCTCATGCTCACGCCCACGTCCTGCTGCTGCTGCTGCTGCCCGACTGCCAGGCATATAAATTACTTTATGATATTGTTTTGAACCTGCGCGACAAATAATATTGTCAGCGATTCGGGGGGAGGAAGGTTGAATTGCTCGAAAATTGAAGCGGGGGGGGATGGGATGGGCACCAGAGGTCATGTCGCCAGCTGGCAGCATCGAAAATTGAAAGTTTTGCTTTCGGATTGAGATTTAGTCGAGCGAGCGAAACGCTTTAACCGCACTTATGGCCCATTTGAATATCCTGTGATCCTGTGTATCTGACTGCCACTTGGATTGGACTTGGCTTGGCTAGGGGTTTACGCTTACAGCTTACAGCTGTGCGTGTGTGTGTGTGTGTCCGGGCAATAAAAATGTCAGGGGCAACTGTCACACAGACAGACAGTTCCCTTTTATTTTTGTTGGTTTTTTTTTCGGGCGGGGAGCCCTTTTGTTATCAGGCCAGAGAGCATGGGGGGGGGACAGCAGGAGGCTGAGAACTGAGGGCTAAGGGCTGAAGGAAGTAAAGGACATCAGTGTCAATTCAATTTTATTTTCATTGTGTCATAACAATAACATAAAATTAAAATAACATAAAAAGGAAATTGAGGATGCGCACACACACTCATACGTAGGGTGGGGAGGGGCAGGCGGATAGGAGTGCAAATCAACGCGGCGGAAAATCGTCAGGCAGTATGGCTGGGAATGGCTGTGTTCTCTGTTGTTATCCTTGCTTACATTTCATCAGTGGCAAACATTTTAAAAAGGACAACACAAACACACACAGCAAGAAAAGGAATGAGGCATGCCACGGCAAAGCAAAGCAAAGGAACAGAACGGAACGGTACAGAACAGAAGACAGCGGACAAAAGTTGTGCATAAAACAGGAAACGGAAACACATCAGCGTAACGGAAGTCAAAAAGTCGTCACATTCACATAACAATGATGGCAGACGTCTCCTCCTGCTGCTGCTCCCTCCTCCTCAGCTGCTGCTGCTACACTCCTCTCATGGCAGCCCTCATTGTTTTGCCCTTTTTTTAGCCCCCCCATGCTGGCGTAGGGTGGAAGCTTTTCATGACGTAACAACATTTATGGCGTAAAGTAAGTAACGTAATAATGTCGCCAACAGTTGCCAAAAAACGAGAGAATCAAAGGCGGAGGGAGTGGCGCTGCCACTGGACGATGGCAACGGCAGCGACAATGGCTGCTGCCCCCATTTTCGGCTTTTTCCCTTTTATTTTTCTGGTTATCCTTCTGCTCTGCTGGCCGAAACCGGGGGCCCAGGATAACTCCGCTGTCTGGCTGCTGTTGTCATCGTGCCCGGCCCGTCGCTGCTGTTGTCATTGTCATTGTCTTTTTTGTCGTTGTCAGGAATTCATTTGGAAAATTAATAAAAATATATACACAACAGAAGACCCGCCACCGCCCCCGCCCCCGCCACGGCCACGGTGGGTGCGTAGGTGGCGGCGCTCAGCTTCGTTTTAATCTGATCCTGCGGGTGCTTTAAGTGTCACAGCTTTAAGAGTCCGCCCCGCCCCCACATAGCCCCCCGTCAGTGCTTCAATTACTTGGCTTTCCCTAAGTGCTCGTTGCCCCGCCAAACACACATCATTAATGCCACACAATCTGATGCACATAATTCAGCCACGAATCGAACAATTCAAATTTTCATTCACTGTCTGGCATTATCTTACCGCCCAGAAGAATATCCATCCAATTTTTCATTTTCCCTTTCCCCCCACGGCTTGCGTGGCATGCAGCGAACGCTTATTTGGAATACAATTCGATTAGAAATGCTTTGCTTTTCGAAATAATAAATTAAATTTTGTTCCACTCCCCGCCCACTGCTAGCTCCCACCGCACTCAAGCCCATCCCCATCCCCAAGCCCAACCCCACCTCCCGGCAATTGCCAATGCCATTAACACCATCTAGGCCTGGGGTTCGCCGCTTGCCGCTTGCCGCCTTGCGGGGTGCAAAAGGTTGCAAAATTGCGAGACGAGTCTTGTTTGGGGAATTCCTGTGGCAACGGCCTGGAAAAAGAAAACGGAAAAAAGCACAGGAAGGGCAACAGGAAGGGGAACAGGAGAAAGCGCGGCATGCGACGCCGAATCAATTTCCTCCAAACAGAACAGAACAGAGCAGAGCAGCGCAGAACAGATCCTTAGAGCCTGCGAGGGCTTTTCTTAAAATAACAAAATTACTTTTTATATGCAACCCAAGTCAAGCCGAGCGAGAAGCAGCCACAGAGCCAGTGGCAGTGGCAGTGGCAACAGAATGCCATTGACAACCATTAATCATGGACGCCTGTCAGGGCGGGTTCACTGGCTCAGAGAGGAGCAGAGGGAGAGACAGAGAGAGAGAGTGGTGTGTGTGTTTGTCGCTGCCCTGCCTGGCTGTCTGCTGATTGTCCTGCACTGCAATGTGAGGTTTTTTTTTTGTTATTTCTAAACTTTGCCTTTTACATGCTAATGCCTGGCACTGGGGCTCAAGTCATGCTCATGCTCATGCTCCTGCTCATGCCCGTAGTCGGAGGCACAAGCTCGTGCCCCTGTCCGGACCACGCCCAGCTGCGAAATTGACAAGCAAGCCGAGTGCGTTGTGTGACATGACACTTGCAAAGGACCAGCACCAGGACCAGGACCTGAAGCAGCAGCAGGAGCAGTAGCAGTAGCCATGCAGGATCAGGGCTGGTCTGGGGCGTGGGCGTGTGCCAAGGCAGGCAGTCAGGCAGGCAGGCAGGTTATGTATGCCATCATTAGACGTGGTCCGTTTGCCACGCCCGTGCTGTTGCAAATTGGCAGCTCGGCAATGGACGGCCATCATGTCAAGTGACAAGAAGATGGGGCAGTGGCAGTGGCAGTGGGTGTGGGTGTGCGTGTGTGTGGGTGTGGGAGTGGCACCTCGGTCCAGAATGCATGTATCCTCAATCCACTATCCATCCTCTCTCTCCTCTCATGTTGATGGCAAGTCAAAGTTCAATGCTAAAAGCCAAAATTCCAATTGCCAAGATGCATGCGAGAGGTGGAGCAGCCGTTGCCTGGGAGCCTGGCAGCCTGCGAGACATTGCCTAATTGCACAGTTTATGGGCGTATCGTACCGAAGGGAGGTAGGTGCATGGTGCATGCTGCATGTCTGGGTGCATGTCATAAAGTGCAAATGTTGGCCCCGCCTGGAGGGCAGGCATCGAAAATTGCGAATTTCCCGCCGAAACTGTGATTTGTGTGTGGCTGGCCTGGCCGATACTTGACATGCATTTTCAATTTAAGGGACAACACCTCACAGGCCCCTCCCTCTCTTGTGCTGTGCATCTCCTGGCCAATAATGAATTCCATTCGTTTTGTCTGCCCTACGCCCCACAGTCCCCGCCAGCGGACACTGTTCATTTATGCAATTGCAAATGCATTTCGTCCTCGGCCAAAGTTGCGAGTTCCAAGCCAAGGAAACGTGACGGAGCAGCTCCATACCTCCGCCATTCCCATTCCCATCCCCATCCCCATCAGGCACGATAAAACTTTATGCACTCTGCGGAAGGAGCCACCACGGAGGAACAGAGAACCAGAGGACCAGAGGACCGTAGGACCGGACCCAGCATTGACATTTTCAAGTGGACCCCATCCAGCGGGGGCACACGGAAGCGCCATCAGAATAGTTTTAATAATGCACAAGACGACGGCACAAACGAGTCCAACTAAAGTCTGCAGCATAAAATCCAGGACATACGAGGACGAGAACGATTCACAGTGGCAGGAAGAAGGGGTGAGGACGGGCCAGGGGGCCAGGCCAGGCAGATAAGACCGGCACTGTCCAAGTCCTGGCCAAGTAAAGGAAAGAAATGCCAGAGAACGGGTACGGCAACGGGGTACGGGGAACAGGGAACGAGCACAGCGTTGGCGGACGGACGGAAGAACAAACATGAAAATTCAATGCAACTTTGTCTATTCGATGTCAGAATGAATACTTTTGCATTATTTATGTCGGCGCATTTGTTTGTTCAACTACAACCGATAACGAAGGAGACAAGGGGGGCGGCCGTGTGGTAGGGCGAATATCTAAGAGGTTGCGGTGGGGGCCTCAGAGGTTACTACCCATTGAAGTCCGCCCCACGTTTAAGGCTTTAAGTGGCAAGCTGCCCCGGTCTGTGGTTGCAGCCTCCTGCCAATATCTTTAGAGCAAATACCTTTAGAGATCGAGGCGCGTATTCCTTGCATACTTTTAGGCCGAGACAACAAATTCTGCAGTGCGTAGAATTCATGTAAAATTAAAAATAATAATATTCAAACTAATCCAAATGAGCTGGATGGACCGTACACTGGACAAGTGTACAAGGAGCTATGTTTTACTGTTTCTATGGCATGGTTACATGCTCGTATATGACTAGGAACAGCAAGTAGAAAATCCGATATTGGCAGGTATTTTTGAGAAATAAATTAATCTATAATAAGTGTGCATCCTCTGAGGAAACAGACTTAGGTAGAATGATGCATATAGATGCTTTAAGGAGTAATTAATGCCAGGCACTAGTTTAGTTTGGATATAAACCAAAAGTAGGACCTTGATAGATAATCCATTTGAGGCAACGTCCCTTCCCTATAGTACACCCTCACCGTTCCGTTCTCTGGTTACCCTCTGGAGCTATCCCACACATGTGTGTTTTTCTGATTTGGAATATTTTCACTCCCCCATGCCACTTCAGAGCCCTTGAGAAGATGTTCTTCGGGTGACTTCCAGCAGGCCAAGTGTCCACTTGAGATGGTCCGGCAAATGCCATCGTAATTTTGGGACAGCCATAAAAATACGCAGGCAGCCTCGAGTGGGGATGTTGGTGTAATGTGCTGAAGCGACAGGACACTTCAGCCGGGACATGTGTATGCGGCCAAGACCAAGACCACTCGAAAGTCTTTAGCTGGCTGTGAAGTGTATTTATTTGGTCATTTCATTCCTATCCGGATCCGGATCCGTATCCGGATCCTCATTCCTCTGTGCGCTCCACAAACTTAAACTTGAAGGGAATATTGGGCTGGACAAAGAACTGCGCCTTGAAGGCATTCTCGATGGGATAGTCGAAGCCAATCTGGAAGTTCCTCACCAGCCGAGCGACGGCTATCTCCAGCATCATGTCCACGATCCGCTTGCCGGCGCAGGCCCGCGGCCCGAACCCAAAGGGCAGATACATGAAGGGCGTGGCCGTTTCTCCCACGAGGTTCGAGTTGGACTCGTCGCGCAGCCAGCGCTCGGGCAGGAACTCCCGCACCCTGGGCACGTACTGCTCCATGTTTGCCATCTGGTAGTTGGCCGCAATGGCCACATCGGTGCCGGCAACGATGCGATAGCCACTGAGGACCACGTCGTGGGGCATGCGGCGCACGGTGCCCGGTCCAATGGGATACAGACGAATGCCCTCCTTGATGCAGGCGCGCAGATAGGGCAGACTGCTCATGTTCTCGATGGTCAGGGGCGAGTCCTTGGCTGGCAGTACCGGCCTGAGCTCCTCGAGCAGGCGAGCCTGCTTCTCCGGGTTCTTGGCCAGGCTGAGCAGAATGCCACCCAGGCTTACGAGGGTCTGCAAAGGAAAACAGGATTACAGCTGCATCTATTGGAGCAGAGTAGAGCGAGGCGGAACATACCGGATCTGCTCCAGCAAAGAGAAAGTCCATGGCAATGATGACGGCAGTCTGGCGATCGTAGCGCGCCAATTTCTCCAGCAGGCTCGCCTCCATGCCCAGCTCGGTGGATATTTTACCCGCTCTGACGTCTTCCTCGATCCGCTTCAGCGCCTGCTCAATGTGGGTGCAGCAAAAGTCGGTGATGGTGTCCAGGGAGCGCATCAGCCGCCTGAACTTGGGCACCGGCAGATACTTCCAGATGGCCGGCAGCATGTCCAGCTGAAAGCCCAGCTCCACGACGTCCTGCAGGGCCGCTTTGAGCTGCTTGGCCTCGTCGCTGTCTCGATTCTCACCCAGCAGACCCAGATGGGTATTGAGAGCCACCGACCCAATGGATTCGATCACCAAGTTGCGAATGTCCTCGGTAAAGTCATCGGGCATTTCCTGGCTGACCGGATCACGGATAAGGCGAATGCTGCAACACAAACCGGTGGAAACTTGAGAGGCTAAGCAGGGTGAATCCAGCACTCACCGCTCCAGAAACTCATCGCTGACCTGCACCAGGTTCTTCAGGTACAGCTTGGCATTGCGGGGCTGCAGCAGAATCGGGTTCACTGCCGTTCGCAGCTTGCCCCAGGCGGGACCATTCCTAGTTCAATGATTAATACCAAGAAAAGCGAAAGCAGCGGCACGAGACTCACCCAGAGACCAGGCCATCGTATTCGCCAAACACCTCGGGTCTGCGCACCCTCCTGAAGTACTCCACAGTGGCGAAGCTGCGTCTGTGCGGCCACTGGCCCTCGTTGCGGAACACCGTCGCATAGTCCTGGGGATTCATGGTGAGGACCATGTCAGTGCCCGCAATGCTGGGCAAACGGAAGAGGCCACCAAACTGGCGACTCAGATCCAGAAACATTTCGTGGGTGGGCACATTTTGGTAGCGGCCTGCAGCGGAATTATGGAGAGACGTAAAGCGATCAGTGATTGAGCTTTTGGCAAGCTTTTGGCACTCACTTACCGCCCGGCATGAAAGCTCGTATCATCTGGAATTTAGTCGGCCCCGGCACCTCCGCATAGGGCTTGGCCTGCTCCAAACTTGTCGTTGCCACAGCCGGAGCGGTCTGCAAAATAATGACAATGAATCGACTTGCGATTAATTATTACAATAAATGGCATGCCATGCACTTACCTTGCTGGCCACATTTCTGCGGAGTATCTGACAGACCTGCCACGAGGCCTGTCTCTTCGCGTTCAACTGCTGCGACAACATATTGTCTACTGCTCGCCTGCTTATGATTAGAAAACATTTCTTTCTTTAATAAATTCAGTGCGAGAGAGAGAGAGCTTTGCGAAGCTTTTTCGTCTCTCTCAGCATGAGATAATTTCATTAATTTTGTTTATGTTTTTTTTGCTTGCTTTCTGTTTTGTTGTAGGTTATCTGTGCTCTCTTTTGGTGGCTTTATTCGTATCGAGAATGAAACTAAATTGATTAACATGGCCTTGGACATGGTCTACAAAGCTTCTTTAATTATTTAAAAAGAACCAAATTGTGGAAATTCTTTTTTTATGCACTTGCATACTTTCTTACAGCCGATCTGGAGTTTCTATATCTTTTAATTTTCCATTACCCTTTCATTTTCATGCCCCGTTTGCACTGCACTGGCTTTAAAAATCTTTCCCCAAACTAAACCAAGAGGCAGACACAAAATTCAAGCCTGTCACAAGCAGCACACATAGCCAGCCCAGTCGGTGGCGGCGCAGCAGACAAAAGGCAATATCTGGCATGACAGAAAATCTATATAGACGGCGGCCCAGACTGACGGGGACTATAATAAAATCGATTTTTTATGTTTTGGCAACTGACAAGGACGCGTCGCATCGGGTCTCGCGTCTCGGCCAGCGGGGCCCCATAAATATGGGTACACAAACACACTCGCAAGCTCCACACACTCGCACACAGACACAGTGGCAGACAGCTGATGATGGGCATACAAAAGTTGACCTCGACTTTGAGCTGTCAAAGGCAGCTAACTAAACTGACCTAAACCAACAAAAATCAACTTTTGCCTTGCCGCCGCCGCCGCCACCGCCGCCTAAACACCAGAGGCCTGAGCATGACAGCCCCGGAAAGGGAGAGTCCGCCAAAGGCGGCGGTTGATGGTGGCTGGGGGGACGGGGCGGGTAGGCGTTTAAATACAAAATATCAGCATGACGCAATGATTTCCGGTCGCAGTGAAAATGAAACCTGTTGGAATCAGGAGCTAAGAGCTGGAGCCCAGAGAGCTGGGAGCTGGGAGCTGCCATCGCTGTTGGCAATATAAACAAATTCAATTTGACAGCTGACAGAGACGACGAGACGGAAGGAGAGCAATACAGAGAGAGAAAGAGAGAGAGAGAGAAAGAGAGAGAAAGAGAGAGAGAGACTTACACACACACAGCAACAAACAAAAGCCGCAAGTAATAAACTTTTACGATCTGTTTTACGGCGACGCGGCACGTGCAACTAGGCCCAGCACATTGAGTGGGCTGTGGATGTGGGGGCATGTTGCTGCCGCGGGGTTGCAACATAAATTTAATGAAGCTAAAAGTGAGGCGCAACAACAATGCAGACAACCCACACACACACGCAACCATAGCGAGAGAGAGAGTCGTGCCACATGTTGAGGCTGAACGGAGGCTGCGGCAATAAAAATAAAATAAAAGTAAATTGTTCAAGGACAGCCATATTTTATGTTATTATTTTACAAACAGCTGACTGCAATAGAAGGCAAAAGAGAGAGAGAGAAAGAGAAAGAGAAAGGGAGAGAGACTGTGGGCAACGAATATTTCGTACAAATTTCGCCGCATGTCGCCCCAGCAAGGGGATGGCCATTTCCCATGCTGATCCTTGGACTGGTCCTAATTCCAGTGCTCTTCGTGCTCCGCTTCGTGCCACTAATGTGGGTATTCCTGCCGACACAAAAATGTCAGAAGCACTCAAAAGAGGACTTTGCCTCGGTGCTTGCCGCAAAACGCCATTGATGGATGATTCGCCCCGCCAGCCCCCTGCTTCCTTCTTCCCCCCCACCCGTCATTTGTGTGGCAAAATAAAAGCACTAAAACTTGCAATTTGTATGGAATACATCACAGAACAGCACGGGACAGGAGAGGACAGGAGAGGACAGGAGTGGAGCAGAAAACGAAACAGCCACCGAAAGTGGTCGTAGCCGTCGCTCCAGACGCAGACATGGGCCAGAAAGAGGCGGCACGACACACGACGCACGTTGGCCCCGAGTCCTGGGAGTTCCGAGTTCCGAGTTCTGAGTTATAGAAACCCATAACCTGCACTCTCTCTCTCTCTCTCTCTCTGTCTCTGTCTCTCTTTCTCTGTCTCACTGGCGTCTCTGGCTTCTGTAGCTCTCTTTTTCTCCTGCTCTGAGTGGAGCGCGCTTTATGATTGCCAGGCATAAATAAGCGGCAAAAGCACCCCAATGACGATGAGGACGACGCGACGGCATCGTCTGCGAGGGTGTCCTGTGGGCACTGCCAAAGTGCACTTCCTGTGTCCTTTCACTGCTTTGCCACCAATTGCTGCCAGTAGCAGGAGCAGTAGCAGGAGCAGGAGCAGCAGAGCTTGCGCAGCCCGGCTCGGGTTCACCTGCCTTAGCCGACTCAGTGCCGGCCGTGTCCTTTTTATCCGTGTGCACTCTAGCATTGGGGCTGTCAACGCCGCCGACAGCTGGATAAATGTGTATCTATGTATGTACGACTCTGGTCTCTGGGCTCTGGTCCTCTGCCTCTCCTCCTGGGGCATCCTTCTGTTTTTGTTTTCCCTTCTATGCTGCCGTTGTCTGCGCATCTTCTCTCTGCGGCAGAGTGAGAGATGTGTGTGTGTGTGTGTGTGGGTGGGTGGGGTGTGTGTGTGGGTGGGTGGGTGACTGTTGTTTGAGGCAAAGTAGCAATTCATCATAGAAAATGGCGGAAGTAATCGCCCCTTTATGGGGGTGTGTGCAGTCTCTTATTTGGGCATCAATTAAAACCCAAAAGCGACATATGATAATGCAACTTAAAGTGAGTTAAACAAACAAATGAAAAAGGGATAAATTCAGTTGCTCTTTTTAAAAGTAAAACCCAAATCTAATATATTTATTTACTATTTTTATATCTGCCGTTTCGCTTCGCTATACTTTTATATACCATAGCCAGAAGAGTCTGTTCCTTTAACGTATCAATTATTCGACGAAACTTTTACGTTCTGCCATGACTGGCTCCAAATCCAACTACTTAACACTTCCGCAGACAGCTAAAACTACGAGTATGGCCATCAAACGACCCGGCCACTCAAGGATCCGCTGTGCTGCTACATGAAAAACGCATCACCCATTCACATAAAGTGCCCATGCCATGCCACGTTTTACTACAGCCTCCAGGACGGGGGGGGAGCAAAGGCCAAACTCATCAAATTTGGCTTAAGAGTTCGGGCATTTAGTTAATTTTAAATGCTGATTAGCGTTGTTTGCAGCGCCTCAAATGGAGGCGGTAGTAGTCCTTAAAAGTCAAGTGCTCCACACAGTAAACCCGAAACCAAATGCCCAAGTGGATTCGGCAAGAGCAAGCCAGCCAGCGCCAGCATATGTGAAGGGTAAATTATAATTTTATTATCATTGCCAGCGTGGCGAGTGAGTGTCTTATCAGCAAAGTTTTACGAGGCCACAGATCGCATAGGGGTCATGTTCTCGCTCTCCTTCTCGCTGTTATCCTTGGCCAAATGAAAATAAACTGTAGCTTAAAATGTTTACGATGCGTTGACGACATCGTCAGGGTTCAGAGAAGGAGCAGGAGCAGGAGGAGTAGGAGGAGTGAGAAGCTATGCCCGGGTCGCTCTCGTGTCTGGTCCGTGTGGGTTTATGGCCCTTTTATGCGCTTTTTATGCGTCATTCCTAACCTCAATTTAATTGTTTAGCCGGTGACAATCATTACCCCCAACATATGTACTCAGCGACAGAGACAGTAGCAGACGGACTGGCTGGCTGGCTGGCTGGCTCTCTGAGTTTTACGACTCTAAGGAGCTGTCAATTTGATGCCATTGACAAGGACCCATCGCCCACCCACATCCACACCCATCATTGTTGTAATAAAAACATGAAGATTACACTTTATGGCCATGACGAACTTGGCGGAAGTTGTAAAACACTCAAGTGTAATGATGCCAGAGCTTTGCATCCGACACCGACACAGACACCGACACTTTCCCTTCTAGTTTTGGGGACTGCGAAACTGCGGGTGTGAAAACTAACGCCAGGCTTTTCATTGGCAGCTTCCTGAGCACAGAAGGACTCGCCTTTACGACTCTGCGATTTACGATGATAACATCTTCGATGCATCCAGTCGCTTATTATTTTTCTATTACATTACAATTTACAGCATTTGATGGCTGGATTTTTACGATCATTAAATGGCGATGCACAGATTTGTCATTTGGCTTGTTAAATAAAGCGCAAAATTTACAGGTTGTCAGGAAGGGAATCAGACATCTACCACCTACCCATCTACCCATCTACCCATCTGCCCATCCACTTCAGCACTGACTCTCCGAGTGGAAATCCTGCACGGTAGTCGTAAAATTTGGCCAAAAGCATTGAGCTATTTGTGCTGCTTCTTTTTTATGGCCAAGCTGTTGGATAACAAAATGTGGTCGCCATCCTTAGCCCTGATCCCTTTTCTGGCCAGGGGCCTGAAGGTGTAAAAATGTGTTCTTGCCATTACTGTTATTGTTTTTACTACCATTCTTACGGTTCTGTCTGTATCTCAGTCGTGGTCCTTGTGCTCGTCTTGCCGTCATTTCTTGGCGCTGTTTATTCAAGCGCGAAAATGGATTCGTTTTTTACGACTTGATTATTATGACTCCGACTGCGTTTGATTACAAATATTATGCCAGAGAATGGCCCCAGTCAAGGGGCACTTTGCTCTGCTTTCGTTCCATTTTATTTCATTTTTTTTTTTTTTTTTTTTTTTTTTGTAGTGCTGCTCACTGAAGTTGTAAATGGTTTTGGGTTTTGATTTTCGTCGAGCAATTTGTTGCTTATGTTTATTAATGAGCCATCGTTCAGTGCAGGCAATAAAGGCTGCCAAAGAACCACAGTTTAAAAGAATAAAACCTAGATCAAACTACAGTTCCATGGCTAACCAATTCTCTTGACTTTTCTTTAAGTGTCTCCAAATATTTGCTTGATTAAATTTTGGCTCCCTGCCCCTGGCATCACAAAATGCCAACACAATGAAGCTTCTGGCTGCTGCCCCGACACTCACTACGGTAT